TCTTGGTCTGCCGCTTTCATCCAAAAAGCTCTCCCTTCTTGACTGTGAGCCTTTGCTGCAAAAGATCAAATCAAAAATCAATTCATGGACCTCTAAATACATCTTATTCGCTGGTAGGCTTGTTCTCATCTCACAGTTATTGCGGGGATAACTAACTTCTGGTTTAGTGCGTTCATCTTGCCTAAGGAATGTATCAAGCAAATTGAGTCTTTGTGTGGGGCTTACCTTTGGAAAGGATCGCTTGAGGGTCGGTACTCGGTTCGAGTTTCTTGGTCTTCTGTCACTTCCCCCAAAGACGAGGGAGGGCTTGCCATTAAGAATCTTACTTTTTGGAATCGGACCTGCTCGCTCAAGCTGCTGTGGATGTTGATCTTTCAGACTGATTCAATATGGGTAGCGTGGATTCATCAGAATGTTATTAAGGATAAAAGTATCTGGGAAATAAAAGAGAGGCAAGCACACACTTGGATTTTCAAAAAGCTGCTGCGTTTGCGCGAAATTATGGTCAACTGGGTTAGCTTAATACCTGGTAATGGCTCAAAATGCAGATTCTGGTTTGATCCTTGGACCCTCTTTGGCCCCTTGATCCAATTTATTGGTCCTCTTGGTCCCCGGCAATTGGGTATCCCCATCTCTGCGTCTGTCTCTTCCCTGTGATCTGGAAATGGCTGGAGTCTTCCGCCTGCTCGCTCTCCCCAACTGGAACAGCTGCACTTTCATCTCACCACCATTTCCTTGTCCGATGCGGATGATATGTCCCAATGGGTCATCGGAGGGTCGCCTTCAAACAGCTTCTCGTCAAGTGATGTCTATCGTCGATTAAGGGACCCTCTCCCCTTAGTCCCTTGGGCCTCCATCATCTGGATCAAAAGAGGGATTCCCAAACACAGTTGTTTGGCTTGGCTCTTCATGCTCAACCGATGCCCAACTCGTGACCGGCTCATCTCTTGGGGCCTGCAAACTGACTCGGTCTGCTTACTCTGCAACCAGAGCACTGAATCCAGATATCATATCTACTTTGGTGCTGCTTCTCTTCCTCGATCTGGAACCACTTCGTCGCAAAGCTAAATATAATCTGCCCTTCTCCCGCCTGGTCTTCTGTGATTTCAGCCCTTTCCTCCCTCACTGGCAACCGACATCGATCATATCTCGCTAAACTGATTTGGCAAGCGACAATTTATGAAGTATGGCATGAAAGGAACAATAGGCTTCATCGCAAATCCCATCCTCTGCTGATTTGCTCATTCAGACTATCTCTTCAACTGCCAAAAATCGGAATTCTGCCTACCGTAATATTAATCAGGATGTGGCTTCTGCATGTCTTCAATATTGGTTCTCCTTGCATTTGCCGTGATTCATAACTATCAACATCCAGTTGCTTCTCTCGTCTCGTTAGGGCAACCTCCTCGTCTGGTTACTTCTGGAGTTTGTGTCACCACTCAGCTCAATCAGACCTATCATTTGGTTCTTATTCATCTATCGGACTTCTCAGTAGATGAGCTTTTTGGTTCACGTTTGGTTATTCACTATTATGAGTTTGTACTAAAGTTGGTTTTTGTAAAAACTCAAAAACACTTTTGGTTCAGTTAAATTTAATGCCATGAAAATGTTAAAAAAAAAAAGATAATTCTAGTGGATTATGGATAAAAAAAAAATACAATTTGATCTGGATATCGCCTTAGGCTTAGCATCTTAGAACGCAGCCTAGGCAGCCCGTAATGATAGCCGTTACCGTCGTAGAATCAAATATAAACTCAAACCGAATTCAACTTAGTCAGATTTTTAATTTAAGTATTAACTAATTAAAACTCTAACCAGAAACTAAATCCGAGAGAAATTGTCAGAATAGTGGAAGGAGACAAAGAGGTCAACTTCAGTGAATGTAGACATGGGTACGTGGACACCCACACGTGTGCTCAATCATCACAACTATATCTACATCCATAGATATATACACCCTCACCATATCTATTACACATACTATATGTCTATATGCATATACCGTAACCTTAAATAATAAATCAATGGCAGACCAGAATTCAAACTTTGAAGTTCGAACAAAGCCGAATAATTTTGTATTCTGAAAGAGCTCGACAGAAGTCAGAAGAGTATCATAATAAAATTTGGCATAAGAAAATTCTTTTTTCACTCCAGAAACAATGTGTTGACTTTTAGTTAATTTTTTAAAATTTAAAATTAAATAATTTTTTAAAGAAACTTTTTTTTAGAAATTTTGTTTTTGTGCTTTCCCTCAAAACAAGTTAATGTAAAACAATACAAGTTTTATAGAAATATACTTCCTCTTTTTTATAATAAAGGGTGTTTAGAGTTTTTAATTTGTTTTATGATATAAGGTGTTTTTTTTAATTTCAATACAAATTTTAAATATATTAAATGATTTCTTACTATATTTTTTCTGCAGTCTTTTTATGATTAGTTAATTTTTTAAAATTTAAAATTAAATAATTTTTTAAAGAAACTTTTTTTTAGAAATTTTGTTTTTGTGCTTTCCCTCAAAACACCCTATATTAGTATATTTAATAGAACATATACGTGAACTTTCTTTGTTAGTACAAAAGAAACAAATTTGAAGAAAAAAATGGCAATTTCTTTTATGATCTAGGTATGATTGAGAGTGCTATTTTGGGTGGCGCCCATGTGCCTGTCCGATCCCCAAGTACCATTCTTCAACTCCTTTCCTCGATTATTAATTACTATGTTAGAAGAAATTGTAGAATATGCGTAAAATAATAACGAATTAACTTACTGGAAACATTTTAGTATAGCATGTAATAAACCTATGTTTCAAAACCATAATTACTTGATGAATATCATCATGAACAATTATATCAAAAAATTGGGATTATGTTTTCGAAACGTAAAACCTTGACAAAAAGTGATATTCATCAAGACTTGTACAAATAGTAGCAAGTACGATTGAGTTTATTCATTACATTCGTTTATTTGTTGAACAAAATATATTTGGTACTCCCTTGACCATTTTAAGAAACTGAACGATATAAAAAAATTAGAAATATATACATGGCTTTCTACAAGTCTCGAAGATCAATTTATCCGAGTACAAAATAAACTTAGCCGTACTAAATACTAAAACCATCTTATCATAAATGCAATTTTCTTCTTATTTTTTTTTTGTCAATAATGAATTTTTCTTAATACATGTATATGTATCATACAATAATAAGATAAATCCGTTAGTGCTAAATTACTTCTAATGATGCTCACTTTACATAATCATCATTTAGTTTGACCCTACTAAACCATCCTGTCATTTTAAAAAAAAAAAATTTCATGGATGTGATTCTCGAATCCCAAAAGTATTATTGATTTTTCTTTTTAGTAGTAATTGTTAGGTTTAAATGTGAGGCAAATAACCAAATGTTTTTTTTTTCTTGTATGATTTTTTTTGTTAAGAAAAGTCACTCCATTACTTAACCTTGGGAAGCATTATAATATATAGACGTTTGTTTGCGGTTTCATACTCATGGTTCTCCTAATCGGTGCCCAATATACCTGAAATTTGTATTATTCCCAGCTTATTTTTCTCTTCTAGATCCAATATTGTTCTTAGTTCAGTCTTTCCCTGTAATTATATTACTTTTAAATTTTAGAAAACCCTGAATAAAAAATGATGAGAGTTTAGGATTGGAAGAAATATATTTGCTTTCGTACGAATAAATTACATGGATTTACATAGTAAAAGGATTCAATAATCTAAAGATACAAATGCGTACAATATTCTAAATCCTTCTATACATAATATTCTAGATCTTTATATATCCTTACAATAGAAGTTTCAAGTGCTAAAAATACCCTTTTAAAATCCACCTACAATTTGGTGAAACGTGTGGAATAAAAATAAAAGAAGAAATCGATAAGAAAATGCGAAGCTACTAGTCGAACACCATGAAGCAGTCCATGAAACTGATTATATAGCGCGACGATGTTGATGAGATCAACATTTAACAGGAGTTTACGAAGCCGAGAGCACATGCAAGGTCGGTAACACCTCTCTCTAACGACGTATTAAGAGCTGAGTATCATAGCGGTTTAAACAGAATAAGTACATACATACATGATATGATAAAACCGAGATATTATTTTCTACCGATTTATACTGTAATTACAAAACATTAATTTATAACAAAACCCATCAAGATTCATCACTTATAAAGCACAAACTTTAATAGTATTAACTAAAAAGACGAATATTCTTCATAACTACCGAACAACTATTCATTCATGTTCGAAATCTTGAGGAATGAGTTAGTATTAAAAAAATGATTACCACAGTTTTAGGACTGGTTTTAAATTCAACCGAAATTGAATCTTCTAATTTTTTTAGTTAATGAACTTGGATTGTTGGACCACACGTCACTTGATGAACATTTTATGAAATAGTATTGCTAATAAGAAGTTACTAGATATACTAAACTATTTTTTATTACTATATATATATATATTTCGAAAAAATATATTTTTATATATATTGTTTTTTTTCTATTCCAAAATCAACTCAACCGTTGTACCATTTTTATTGAATGATCATTGTTCGTGAATTATTTTGTTCATTCACATTTTATGGTTACATCTCGATATCGTTTACAATCTGTCATGGAAAAAAAGTTATTATCATGAAGGGTATTCTAAAACCCACTAATAATTCATAGAACAAAATTTATAATCTGCTTTGAAATAACTCTTTGGTAATTGGTCATCATCATGCATATTTTCATGCTAGGAGACAATCAAAGTGAAAAATATGTCATGTTTACCAAAATCCTATCATAACTCTTAGAATAAGAAAGATACACAAAGTTGGTAAAATTCTACATTTGTTTATTTTTTCTCTATGGTAAGTCCATCATCGATCTTCTCTCTCTATCTCTCTGACTCAGAGCATGTTGCACTTGACTTTGCTTTCTATATAAACACTTGCAATCACACCCTTCTAGTCCCAACCACATTCCCATCACACACACTCTCTCTTTCTCTCTCTCACTTTTAAACATACCACAGAACAGAGGAGAAGAAAACAGAGAGATCTATTTCAAAAACAGAGAAGGAAAGAGGAAAACAGAGTAAGATGGGAATAGTGATGGTCATGGTGGGTCTTCTCTTTACCCTCGTCGTGCTCTGTTCTGCTCTTCTCCGATGGAACCAAATGCGATACACCAAGAACAATCTCCCTCCTGGAACCATGGGGTGGCCAATCTTTGGCGAAACAACCGAGTTCCTCAAACAAGGCCCTAATTTCATGAGAAACCAAAGACTCCGGTAAAACTTAAAAAAAATACTCAAATATAAACGAATCAAGATTTTGTTTTTCTCCAAAATTACTAACTTGGGATCAACAGATATGGGAGTTTCTTCAAATCTCATCTTCTGGGTTGTCCAACTTTAGTCTCGATGGACTCAGAGATCAACAGATACATTCTAAAGAACGAGTCGAAAGGTTTGGTTCCTGGTTATCCACAATCGATGCTTGACATTCTTGGGACTTGCAACATGGCTGCGGTTCATGGTTCGAGCCACCGACTTATGAGAGGCTCGCTTCTTTCACTCATAAGCTCAACCATGATGAAAAATCACATCTTGCCTAAAGTTGATCACTTCATGAGAGGCTATCTTGGTCAGTGGAATGAGCTTGAGAATATTGATATCCAGGATAAGACCAAACATGTACGTTTTTATCTCTCTCTTTTTCTTTTTTACTTTCTTACTTTATGTTTCCTAAGTCTCTATACCTTTGTATGTCAAATTAATTATGCAATTCTTTTGAAAAAAAAAAATCAAGTAGTTGTAATTAGTGGTCTTGTGAGGATCAATTATTTCGAATTTTTTTTTGACGGATATAGACATTGGAATTAATCTGCTCGTTCCATGAAAGCAAACTATATTTTCTGTGTTTTAAGTAAATATTATTCTTGTATAATGCACACTTACTAATAAAATGACAAAACTATTTCTATTTATAAATTCATGGTTTAAAAAGATTACTAAGAAAAAAAATTTCCTGCAAAGAAAAGAGGAATATCTACTTATATTTTTGTGTTTGGTCAGGAGAAATTTCAACTTATTAACTAAAAACATAAACTTCAAAACTGTGGGAACTTTAGTTCTATGGATGGCAGGATGGGCATAATTTTAAATAACTGAGAATATCTGGCTTTACTTATATTATATATCCGAGAATATATATGGTCTCAATTATTCTTAATGTCTATTTTGTGTACTTCTAAATTGTATATTTCTTTTACTTATTTTTGTTTTCTTGTTTCGGTGGGTTTCGTGCAGATGGCATTTTTATCTTCCTTGACTCAAATCGCTGGGGATTTAAGAAAACCACTCGTTGAAGAATTCAACAATGCATTCTTCAAGCTTGTTGTTGGAACTCTATCGGTCCCGATCGATCTCCCTGGCACAAATTATCGCTGCGGAATCCAAGTAAAATATTCGTCTCGATATTTTAAAGAAAATTGAAATGAAAAAATAACGTAAGCTGAACCTTTTTTGGTTGCTTTTTAGGCAAGAAAGAACATTGACAGGTTGCTTAGAGACCTGATGCAAGAACGTAGAGATTCTGGAGAAACATTTACAGACATGTTAGGTTACTTGATGAAGAAGGAAGACAACCGATATCCATTAACCGATGAAGAGATACGAGATCAAGTCGTGACGATCTTGTATTCGGGTTATGAAACTGTCTCTACGACTTCAATGATGGCTCTTAAGTATCTACATGATCACCCAAAAGCTCTTCAAGAACTGAGAGTATGTCCTTAAGAAATAATTAATTGAAAATGCAGAGGGAACATTTGGTTAATCCGGTTTTATAATTTTCCTGTTTAATCCGGTTTGGTTTTGATTTTGGGTTATTTTTGAAATGCAGAGAGAACATTTGGCTATGAGGGAAAGAAAACGACCAGACGAATCACTCGATCTGGAGGATGTGAAGTCAATGAAGTTCACTCGAGCTGTTAGTAATGAACATTTATGTTTCTTACACTTGCTAATAATTAGTCATTAATCTGTAATAACAATTATCTATTTATTTATTAATTACAGGTGATTTTTGAGACATCAAGATTGGCAACGATCGTCAATGGGGTCCTGAGGAAAACTACTCGTGACATGGAAATCAACGGTACGTATATATATTTTTCCTATTTCATTTTTTTGTTGAGTTTATAATAATTTTATAATTTCTAAGTTTCTGAAAAAAAGAGAGAGAAATAATGTGAGCATGTGGTGGACCTTAGAGTAGATCAATGATTTAGAGTGTATTATGAATACCAACCAAATCCAGCTATGAAAGCATCCTCCTTTGTGAGAGCCCTCCACGGTTTATATTTTCCAATAATTTTGACAGAATATAAACCTTTTTCGTGTGTTCTTTAAATGATTTTAATACACTCCACAAATTCTGATCATGATCTTTAATAATTGTAGGTTATTTAATCCCAAAAGGATGGAGAATTTATGTATATACGAGGGAAATAAATTACGACGTAAATCTTTACAAGGACCCATTGATCTTTAATCCATGGAGATGGATGGTAAGCATCAGTTTCATAATAAATGCTGGTTTTTATTTTGTTTAATTGATTTTTATATCTCAATTAGTCCAACTTATAATTAGAGAGATAATGGTATTATATATTTTTTTTGTTTAGAGACACGACCTTGTGTTTTTTTTAGTTTGTATAAATTTTTAAAATTACATATCATCTGAAACGAAAAGAGTATATATTACTGTGATCTTTTGTTTCTTTTTTCTTTGCCCGAAACTGCATGACTTAAAAAAGTATGATTTATGGAATTTGTGAATAAAGGATAAGAGCTTGGAGTCACAAAACTCATGCTTTGTATTTGGAGGTGGGACAAGGCTTTGCCCTGGCAAGGAGCTAGGGATTGTTGAGATCTCGAGCTTCCTCCATTACTTTGTTACCAGATACAGGTCAGTTCTTGATCAAAGATTGATCTAACTCTTTTTTCCCTTGGATTTATTGTGATTTGATTTTAGAAGTTTGTGTTGATTTTAATCATGTGTGATTCTAATCGCAGATGGGAGGAATTGGGTGGGGAGAAATTAATGGTGTTTCCAAGAGTTTTTGCACCAAAAGGCTTCCATATTAAGATATCACCTTACTAACTAAAAAAATAATAATCCTAGAGACTAATATAAATGGGGAATATAAATGTATAGAGAGTATAGAAGAAGCATATATGAAGAGACAAGATAAGAAGAAATTTATGATTTTTTTTCCCTAATATAATGACCCATATTTTGTTCTCATTTATGTTTTTTTCTGGTCATATGTACATAACTATGAGCAGCTTAATTTTCTTAATTATATTCCTATTTCTCTATTTGTAATCTTCAGGCTAAAATCTAAATGATGTTTCATAATAAACATATATAATCACATCCACTTTAGTTTATTATTTACTTTTCCCCAAAACTGATATTTGTTTCTTTCATTGGGTACTTCAATATGATATATCCATAGCTACTACTACAGGTTCTCTCCAGCCTTTGATTGTTGCATATTTGTTGTATTGTATCTGCACACGAGGTCATTTTAGTAAATATATCTAGGTGGAGCTCGGAGATTCTTGTTAAAATAGAGGTGAGATCGATGTGAATATTTCGGGGTTGTTTGGGCGAGGTCAACTAAGCGAGGTAAGAGTTGTGATTATAATTCTCGAGTATATTTGTCTCTATTTCAGATTACGGATCCCGTAATAAATGAAGTTAAATGGCTATTTATAGTGTTCAAATTAGGTTACATCTCGGTCAGAGTAGCTTGGACGGCCGGGTAGATAGACCTGACCGACCGTCTATCGAAATGTCTCGCTGGCGAGCTGTTTCATCAACGTCGACGTGGTGAGCTACTCCTTCAACGTCGACGTGGCGAGCTACTCCTTCAACGTCGACGTGGCGAGCTGCTCCTTTGTTATGGGAAGTTCATCTCTTTGAACGACCTCGTTTTGGCTTTATGGATGGGCTTGTTATTCTTTGAGCTCGTTGGGCCTCTCTGATTTGCTAACGGGCCTGGTTTAAATTACAAAAAGAGGGCTGTTCTCAGCCCACCTACAACAATTGTCACCCCCCCCCCAGTCCGTTGATGGAGATGTTACTTTGATATTCAATGCATCGAGCCAGAGAATTTTCGTGTCTTTGGGCCTCGATATCGATGTGGAGTTATCGGGGTCGAGGTGATACTTGGGAAGAGCAAAGAGCAACGGTCGACTTGGAAAGTGAAGAGTTGTGAAGAGCAACGATCGTCTTGGGAAGTTAAGAGTCGCAAAAAGCAACGGTCGACTTAGGTAGTGAAGAGTCGCGAGTGGGAGCGTGATTTTAGGGAATCGCGTGGAATCCGCCACTAAATAAGATACTGGGAAGCGCCCGGATCATGATTACCTTCCTCGGTAACCGCTGTCTTTTCTTCCTTATATATTCTGCTCTCCCTCTCTTCTTCTCATTTTCTTCTCCGTTCACAAAAGGTAATCTTGCTTTCCCCTCTCTCTAGAATTCCTTTCTCTCTCTAGAACTCGTTCTTTTGTCATTTTATTTCTGCCGCTATTCGATATCGAATAATGTCTTCGGGGGGTCAGCGCATCGAGTCGAGTTTAGAATCGGGCTCCAGATCTGAACAGGAAGTTTCTGGGAGTGTGAGCTCCTCTCCTGAGGTGTCTTCGAGGTCTGAAACCCAATCGGATCGAGGAGAGTCTCCATTGGTTGAATTGGCGGATCGAGTTCGTTCTGACGGGGCGTCTCCGCGAGGAGAAACTGCGACGGATCTTCAAATAGTTCCTTTCGAGGAAGATGGTCGTGACGGGAAGGCTGCGGGGCATGTCGAGGAAGAGGTCGATGAAGGGGATGAAGAAGAAGACGGTCAAGGCGCGGAAGAGGAACAAGGCGAGGAAGCCAGACCTCGATGAAAAGGTTCCAAGGGTAAGGGAGCCATCAAGAATCGACTAGTCAACATTCCGTCTCAGATGACGGCTCAACGCCTAGAAGAATTTCAGTTACGATACGGATTTCGAGGCGAGCTGATGGCGCCGGGGCCTGAAGATCGACCATGGCATGCACCAGAGGGTTGGGTCACGCTCTACGAAGCATGGTTCAGCCTTTGTCATCTCTGGATGCCTCTGCCGAGGTTGTTGACGGATTACGTCCATCGTCGAGGTATTGCGTTCTCGTAAATCCTTCCAGCGGGGATCCGGTTCATGGTCGCGGCCCTGTTATTTGGGAGCGAGGTTGGGGTCGATGTAGACTGGCGTTTCTTCGAGGAGATGACTACTGTTCAGAAGAACAACTCGATCCCGGGCACATATACGATAAAGGCAAGGAAAGACTGTCCTTGGTTTATCCCGTCAACAGGACGCCTAGCTGGGAGGCGTCTTTCTTTTTCGCAAAAGTGGATGAGGCGTTGGTTGTTGATACGACCAGAGATTTTAGGAATGAGTGGAGCAATAGCATCGGTAGATCGCTAATTCGGTCATATTTCGAGTTTTCCCTTTCTTTTGCTGATGTTTCCTTGTTTTTCGCAGATCGAAACGTCCAGCTCGAAGCTTTCCCGGAAAATTTCCACGCGAATATCCAGAAGATTTTAGAGCTGTTGGGATACAACATTGGCTTGACATTCATCGCCGGAGGGTCAAGGCTGCCATCACTCGTATTACAAACGGTAAGTTCGATGTCATCGATATTATGAGTCGAGCTCTTACGTCATCTAACATGTTCTTTTGTTTCAGCTAGTTGGAGAAGAGAAAATTCTCTAAGGGAGAGAGCGATCGCAATGGCTCCAATCCAGGTGAACGCGCCCAGCCTCGCTGCACGTCTGAAAGCTAAGAAGAGTGAGAGCAAAGATCGGGGCCCTTCTGCCTCTCGGCCTGACCGTTCGGATCGGGCGCCGGTAGTTCAAGAGGAGGTCGAGGTAGTTGCCCAACGAGACGCTAACCTCGAATCTGTCGACGATGGTGGGGTCGAGATTCAGATCACTGAGGATCAAGTGGCGATTCCGCGAGCAGATGACGAAGCCGATGAAGCCACGCAGTCGGCGAGGCGTGAGGAGAAGAAGCAAAAGAAGAAGAAGCGTGAGGAGAAGAAACAAAGGAAAGAGGAGAGCGAGGCCGCTCACCTCGCTAAGAAGGAGGAGATCGCCAAGGCTAAGGCGAAAGGAAAGAGGAAAAAGCCTTCTGGAGAGAGCCACGACGGTGGTCAAATGGGAGGCGAGGAGGCGAGCAAGCGATCTAAGGTCGATCCAGCTGGTGACGACAAAGCCAAAGAGATCGACTGGAGCTTTTCGTTCGAGTACCCCGAGTCGAACGAACCGTTTGTCAACAATGTTGACAAATGTGCAGAGCTATTCGGGATGATAAGGGGCTCCACCTCCGAGGTCCCCCCTGGTACCGATGGGGCTTTCAAAGACATGGCGAGCTTCGCCTTTAAGGTATGTCTGGAATCTTCACTTTATTTTTTCTGTGAGTTCGACCGATATATTTTTTTGTTTTTATTTTCAGTTCATCGCGAGCTGCAACCGCGCACGGGGTCAGTACATGCGCTAGCTCCGGAATGGTGTCGCTCGGCTAAAGGATGCCCAGGCTGCCGGCGAAAAGGCAGTGAAAGAACGTGACGCCGCCATCGAGCAGCGAAGGATCGCCGAGGACAATTGGCAGACCATGAAAAGGAAGGCGGAGCAGCTCGAAGCAGGGGTGAAAGAGCTAACCGACAAGGTCTAGGCGATGAAGCAAGAGAACCTGGATTTAATCAACAACTTGCAGATCGTCAACGAGGCCAAGATCCAGGTCGAGAAGTCGATCGCCACTGAAGTCGTCCGGGCACAGCGGCAGGCTGATGAGAGGATCGAGGCGGAGACGACCCGAATTTGGGCAGATGGTGAGGCAAAGTATTCAGGTCGCATCGATCGGCAGAGGATTCAGGTTGCTCAACAGGAGGCGATCGAGAAGGTTAAGCTCGATCTAGTTCAGGCTCGAGGTACATTGGAGTGCCTTGATCTCTTGAAGGAGCAAGAGATGTCTGAAGCAGAGTTGAGAGCCGAGCTGGAATCGTCGAAGCGCGACTGCAAACAGAAGCTCGAGAACCTCAGCTTCACGGATCTTGAGGAAGGCGACTTGCCTCCGCCATACCCTGAAACCCCAGATGGTGGTTCGGATCGAGGTGATGCCGAGGATGAAGAGAACCACGAGGGCGGAAATGAGCCTGAAGAATAGATCTTACTTGCCTTTTTCTTATTTGTTGTTGCCTCTTTTCTTTTGATTTTTTTTATTTTGCCTCGTTTGTAAGGACCCGACCTGATCGAGATGATGCCGAGGTTAAGCTCGCACTTTGAATCGTAAAAAGTTAATAAATACGAGGTATATTTAAGTAAAGCGAAACGACTAACGCGAATATCCTCATCTTATCAATGAAGTATTAGCTCGCAATTTAAATGACAATAGATTCGAGATGAAATGCTTGATATGAGGTGGATCTTGACCTAATTAAACAAAACCTACAAATGATAGGCGCGAGATATGACCTAAGAGAATAATGGATGCGAGGTACAAGATACGAGGTGAAACTCGGCTTAAGGGAACAATAGGTGCGAGGTGAAACTCGGCTTAAGGGAACAAGAGGTGCGAGGTGAAACTCGGCTTAAGAGAACAATAGGAGCGAGGTGAAACTCGGCTTAAGAGAACAATAGGTGCGAGGTATGACTCGGCTTACCCTGTTTTATTTCATTAATCGTGTCCGAATAGTGAGAATGATCTCGACGTAGTTATTCGGGTGATTTAAGAAAGGGTGCGGGACTGGTCTCGGCTTATTCTCTTATAATCGTAAGGTTTTTGTTCCTTAGGATTTATTAAGAGTTTGCATTGTAGGGAAATGCGTATTAGAGGATCGAACATCTAGCTAGGATGTCGATGTGAAAGATGTCGATGTAAAAGTTGGTATAAATAAAATTTTATTAATAGCTGTACCTCGTGAGAGGTTGCCTACGTACCAAACAAACTGGGATCAAGCCGATCGTAGTTCACATTCGACATCTAGCTCGACCGAGTATAGCTCGGTGAGCGTCTTTTTTTTTTTTTTTTTTTTTTTTTTTAGTAGTAATACCGCTTTATGTTCATCGAGTTCCACGATCGCGGTATCATTTCGCCATCCATCGTCATCAGCTCGTAAACGCCAGGTTTTACAACGTTGGTAAATTGGTAGGGGCCTTCCCACTTTGCGCCCAGTTTTCCGGCGCGGTATTCTTCGGTATTTTCGAACACCTTGCGAAGGACGAGGTCGCCAGCTTCGAAGTGTCTACCTTTCACGCGTTTGTTGTAGTAACGTGAGATTTGCTGCTGATAATTTTGCATACGTA